TTTTGAGTCGGAGACTCACTCCGTTGCCCAGGCCAGAGTGCAGTGGCACACTCACGGCCACCCCAGGGTCGACCTGCTAGGTTCGGGTGATCCTCCTGCCTCAGCCTTCCAAGTAGCTGAATTACAGACTTGTAGTACCACACCCGTCTCATTTTTTATTTTTATTGTAGAGACGCAGTCTCATCGAGTTGCCGGGACTGATCTCAAACCTGCAGGCTCAGGCAATCCACTTCCCTTGGCCTCCCAAAGTGCTGGGATGACAGGCTGAAGCACGGAGCCCGTCAAAAAAATAAAAGCATTATTAAAAGGTTGCTTTACTCTACTGATCTCTGAGTCTCTGTGTCATTTTTAAACAACCCAGTCTACAGGTGGAAATACCCCCTAAAACTCCCATTGCTAGCAGTAAGTAGGAGATGGGCACAGAGACTGGTCCTTTGAAAACCCTGTTCCTTCTCATCTCTATATGTATTATATAAATACGTATTATCTATTATAGTATATAACATATATTAATAGCTGTCCATTATCTCTATTAATAGCTATTATATCTATACTCTATAATATTACAACGGATATCATAATATATGTTAATATCATACACAGAGAGTAATTCAGTGGTGTTTGCCGGCCAGGAAGGGTCTGCGAAGGTACAGGCCCTGAGACGAAGCCCTCACCTGGCTTTCTGCGGGGTGGGGCGTCCCGAGGCTCCGTGCAGAGGTCTCCCCCATAGCCAAGTTCACACTCGCAGGTGAAGCTGGCTCCCTGTTCCCGACACTGCCCGTCATTCTGACAGGGGTTCCGTAGGCAGGGGCTTTCTGCAAGGATGGAGGAGGTTGTGAGGGGGAGCCCTGGGAGGACACGTACAGCTGAGAGAGGTCAGGCTGGGGGCTGGGACCCCAGGGGAGAAAGCAGGGGCTGCCAGAGACTGGCCAGGGGTCAGCAGGTCTGGCTCTTGATCCTGGCTCTACCCTCCCTAGCCCCGGGCTTTGGGGAAACTGCTTAACCCTTCCAAACTCCATTTTTGTTCCCTATAAAGTAGAGGTGTTATGCTTATCACCAAGGCCAACGTAAGGACTAAGGGAGATGACAAGAAGGGTTCTAGGACAGGGCCCAGCAGGTCAGGGGTGCCTGAGGGAGAGGAGGCCCTTTTCTCGGCTCCTCCCTAAAAAGGGAGGGACAGGCTTCCTGACATCCATGTGGAAAAGAACCAGGCAGAGGATGGGGAGGGACAACCCTCAGTCCAGGGACACCCCAGGGTACAGGGACAGCTTGGAGCCCGCTGAGGTCCAGGCTCACCTCGGAAGCAGCCACGGGTGTGGTTCCCCAGGGAGCAGGTCTCCCCAGAGCTGCAGCCAAAGCGCTCACACTGTAGGACCCCCGAGCTGGCACAGGTGCAGCGCTGAGAGCAATCCTCCGTCACAAAGCTGTCGCCCAGCTGGAAAGGCGGAAGGGCCCAGAGAAGGGAGCTCTGGTTTCCATCCCGGGTAGGGCTCTCCTTTGCCCCTCTTCTCCCCGGGGCCTCCCACTGCCAGCCCGGACCTGGTAGTAAACGCCTTTGCTGGTGCAGCCGCAGTGGGCCAGCGGGAGGCTCTGGGCGCCGCTGTACGCATAGCCGGGGATGCTGGCGCAGCCTTCCACACAGGGGCCGTCACAGTCCCTGGGGGCTGCCAGGTTGGCACAGGAAGCTGGGCAGGGCGTCATACAGCTCTGATACACGGTGTTAGCGGGACACGCCAAGGCTGAGGGGGACAGTCATGGTTGGGGCTGGCCAAACAGGTGTGAGGTCACCCAACAGAGCCCTGAGCTGCTCATAGGCAGGGAAGCCAGAACACCTGCACCAGCTTCACCTGAGGGTCATTTTGTCTGTGACACTGGAGCATCGGAAGGGGCTGGAGGAGCAGAAGTGGGCCTTGGGGGGCAGGAGCGGGATGAGGGATGGAGGGGTGGAGGCTCCCAGGGGGGCAGAGAAGGGGTCAGGCTGGAGGATGTGCTGACTCGGACGCAGTAAGCATGGAGGGACGGAGGGACCGAGACCAGAGGCCAAGGCGGGGTGACGGTGGAAACAGACTTGAGCAGAGGGGCGAGAGCCAGCCACGGGGAGGGGCAGTGCCTCACCGCAGCGGGTGTGGTCCCGCCAGCCGGCCAGGGCGGCGCCCGCCTCCTGGCACAGGATGGCGTACCCGCTGAGGACCTGGCAACGCCGCTCCTCTTGCTCTCTGGGGTCCCGGGCCAAGCACAGATCCAGCGCGCAGTGCCTGGGGCAGAACGGGGACAGGAAGGGCACCGTCAGAGGAGGAGGCGGGAAGACCCAGCCCCCAGGAGACAGCCTGCAACCCCAAAGAGGAGGGCATCAGGCAGTGTCCAGCGAGGGTCACAAGGACCCAAGGCCACAAGGAGAAAGGCGGTGTGGCCAGACAGATTACAGGGTGGGAAGACGGCTGTAGGTCCCAGGGAAAGGCCGGGGCAGGCACCCGGGCCGCTCCTGCCAGCCATGGGCCCCTGACTCACTCTTGGAAGGGCTCTGGGGCCACTGTCTGGTGACAGGCAGCAAAGGGGCCCTGGGGGTCCACCAGCACCCCGCAGGCTCGGGTGCTGTTGAGTGCCAGCTGCAGCGGGCTGCATTCTGACGCACGGAAGCCGGGCTCTCCTCCTTCTCCCACTTCCTCCTCTGGTGTGGCCCTGGAGCAGAGACAGCCCAGGGCCAGGTGAGGTCTCCGAGGAAGGGGAAGTGAGAGAGGAAGGGTGAAGGGAGGCTTGGAAGGAAGGCTGAGGCCAGGGCAAGGGCGCGGACTGGGATTCCCACCCAGCAGGCGCCCCATCGTTGAGGAGATGATGACGGAAGTGGGAAGGCGGAGGCCTGGCTCTGTGCACGCTCTCCCTGGCCTGTCCTCCGCTGCCGAGGACAAGAGGGTCAGGAGCCGCAGACAGACGCTGTCGCCCGCTCCAGCCCCCTCCAGGCCACACACCTGGGGAAGCGGAGGAGGGAGTCCTCTGTCTTCACCTCCCAGCTGTTGCCGAAGGTGTTGGGGTTCTGCGTCAGGGCTCCGCTGGGCAGTATCATCTCGTTCTTGCGGTTCTCGTCGTAGTTCCCACACAGGCCCCGCACCAGACCTTGGTACATGCTGGGCAGGGAGATCACTGCGGGGGAAGGGTGTGCCCCGAAGTGAGACCCCCCAAGCTGTGCTCTCCATCCGCCCCCTGAGCCCTCCTCGGGAGCTGGGCGCCCCAACCCCAGGCGGGCATCGCCCCTCCACAACTTGCCTGTCTACGACATAGCGTTCCCTCCCCCGGCCCAAAAATGTCACTCCGCCCGCCTTCCCCTCTCCTCGCTACCTGCATTTCTCCTTCCGTCGAAGCTGACGACCAGCTCGAAGTCGGTGACCAGATACAGCCGCTGGCCGCTCAGGGTGACCCGCAGGTGCTCGTCAGGCCTGTAGGGGACGGCCATTCTCTGGTTGTTGACCTGGAGTGGGAAGACAGGGACCGCAGGGCCTGCTGAGCTAGCCCGACCCGCTGCCGCTTTGCCAGGCTTCCCTCTGCGCATGAGTCACCCTGCCTCTCCAGACGGTCACTCGGTGGGATGGGACACCCCAAGGGGTTCTGCTGTCCCACGTGGCAGAAGGCTTCCCGCAGTCTGCTCCCTTTGCAGCCCAAGTGCCCTCCTTGCAAAAAACTGGCACAGTGGTGTCCCTGGTCCTTCTTCAGCCAGGGCTCACTCTTCACACCGCTCTCTTCCCTCTTCCGCTTGTCCCTCCCCTACCACCACCAGCTTCTGCCTTCTCCCATTAAGTGAGCTTGACACCGATTCTGACTTTTTTTTTTGAGTCGGAGCCTCACTCTGTCACCCAGACTGGAGTGCAGTGGCACGCTCACGGCCACCACAACCTCGACTTACTGGGCTCCAGCGATCCTTCCGCCTCAGCCTTCCAAGTAGCTGGAACTACAGGAGCGCACTACCACGCCTGGCTGATTTTTTATTTATTGTAGAGATGAGATCTCACCAAGTTACCCGGGTTGATCACGAACCCATGGGCTCAGGCAATCCACTCGCCTCAGCTTCCCAAAGTGCTGGGATGATAGGCTGAGCCACCAAGCCTGGCCGATTCTGACTTTAAAAAAAATTTTATTAAGCTTAAGTCTCACTCTGTCATCCATGCTGGAGTGCAGTGGCACGATCACAGCTCACCACAGTCTTCAACTCTTGGGTTCAAACAATCCTCCTGCATCAACCTCCCAAGTAGCTGGGACTACAGGTGCATGCCATCATGACCAGCTAATTAAAAAAAAAATGTTTTTGAGTTGGAGTCTCACTCTGTCGCCCAGACTGGAGTGCAGTGGCCGCTCCCAGCCCCTGCAGCCTCGACCTGCTGGGCTCCGGCGATCCTTCCGCCTCAGCCTTCCGAGTAGCTGGAACTACAGATGTGTGCTACCACGCCTAGCTAGTTTTTTGATTTATTGTAGAGCCGAGGTCTCGCCAGGTTGCCCGGACGGGTCTCGAACCCGTGGGCTCAGGCAATCCACTCACTTCAGCCTCCCAAGGCGCGGGATTACAGGCTGAGTCACCGAGCCCGGCTTAAAATTTTTTAGAGACAAAGTCTCCCTATGTTGCCCAGGCTGATCTCAAACCCCTGGGCTCAAGCTGATTCTGACTTCTGTCACCAGCCTGCTCTTCCTGGGAATGTCCCAGGGATCAGGGAACCCCGGCTTCTCCTACTCCAGATGGCCCCTCATGGCTCAGCCTGCCTCCCCACACCAGCCAGGCCCTGCCCCGGCTCTTACCACAAGCTCCAGGCTAGCTTGGAGCTGGACTTTATAGCCGTAGACGGTTGTAATCACTTCATGCAAGAAGATGGGGCTCCAGGGTGGATACACCTTGTTGCGCCCCACCACAAGCAAGGGCTCCACCCCGTCGGGGAGCACGTCTACGGTCTTGATGAGAATGTAGGACATTTGGCCCTGGAAGCGGTAGCTGAGGCGGTCAAACGTGCGGTAATGAGGGTCCCCGAAGACTGAGCATTGGTCCGACTCTGCCGAGGACAAACACTGAGAGGGGACCCTGTCTGGGTGTGATGGGCCCCAGAATCCCCTCCCCCCACCACGATGTCTCCTGGGGCTGCCCTCTTAGGCTCAGGCTTCCCAGATATTTGACTTCAATTTTCTCCCTCCCCTGGCCTGATGAAAAGCCTTAGAGGATTTCTTTCTTTCTTTTTTTCTTTTTTTTTTTGAGCTGGAGTCTCACTCGGTCGCCCAAACTGGAGTGCAGTGGCCGCTCCCGGCCACCACAGCCTCAACCTGCTGGGCTCCGGCGACCCTTCCGCCTCAGCCTTCCGAGTGGCCGGAATTCCAGGTACGCGCTACCACGCCCGGCTGATTTTTTGATTTATTGCAGAGATGAGGTCTCGCTGCCCAGGCGGGTCTTGAACCCGCGGGCTCAGGCAATCCACTCACCTCAGCCTCCCAAAGGTGCGGGATTACAGGCTGAGCCACCGAGCCCGGCTGGAGGATTTCTTCATCCCATCCTCTGTCCCAGAGAGGAGCAGTAACTGGCACACCTCCACAGGATGGGTGAGCGTCAGACTTGGAAGCCCGCCCGCCCGGATGCTGCCTGCCTATGCCGGGGCCCGGGCTAAGCCCCTTCCTGCCCTGCCTCTTCCTCCACTACGACCCTGGCTCCAAGCACCCCCCTTTCACCCGCCCCAGCAGCTCCGCTCACTATCGGGTGCACAGATGCTGTTGCTGTTGTCAGAGTTGAGCTGGCAGTGAGACCCAGAGGGGCATCGGAAGTCCCGACACTGAATGGCTCCCGCTGTGCAGACACAGTTCTCAGTGCAGCCACTGGAGATCCAGGTCTTGCCCGGCTACAGCAGCCACAGGAACAGAAGGGGAGTGAGGAAGGAAGGAACGGTACTCCTCCCTCTCACCCTGGCAGCCGAGCCCCCTGCATGGATGGCTTAACTGGCACTAGCTGGAGGCGGTCACCATGTCATTCGGGTCTTTATGTCCCTGTATCACCTCCCAAAAAGCATCATGTTTAATGTCCTGTATATGTTGTTCAGGACCCATTTACAGATGAGGAAACTGGGGTTAACAGAGGTCACCTGACTCATCAGCTGTACCAAACCCAGGGTAGCCTGGACCCGTGACATGTCCTTTCCACCACACCATGCCGCATCTATTGTTTGGATTCCTCAGATCCAAAACCCAAAGCATGCACCCTCTAACCAGGCCTGGCTGGAGGTCAGTGTGCCTCTCACACCATGCCCAGAGCCAGGCATAGAGATATGGGTCTCTGGCTGAGAAAGGCCGAGGAAAGGAGAACGCACCCTCCTCAAGGTGTGTTGCCCCCAATCCCACTTCCCGTGCCCGCTCACGGGGATGGAGCCGCCCTGGGCGTCCTTGCAGCCGCACTGACTTCTGGGCACACACTTGTCCTCATTCAGCACATAGCCGGGCTGGCAAATGCAGCCCTCAGCGCAGGAGGTGGGGACTTTGGCGCCCTCGCACCGGCCGTCCAGGTCCCAGCATGACGGTGGGCAGGAGGAAAGGCAGTTGGTATAGCTGCTGTAGGTGGGGCACTCCAGAGCTGTGGGGTAGAGGGGAGAGCAGGTGAAGTGGAGCGGACCAGAGGGAGCCAAGGCCGGCAGGGGCTGCAGGTACATGACCAACAAACCCTGGGGCCTTTTCTTCCTTTCCTGGTCCATTGAGTAAGCATTCAGTGAGCTTGGGCTGTGTGCCAAGCTCTGAGTAGCGAAAGGAATGAGAATGGGTCTTCCAAGTCATCCTGGGAAACAGAGGTCAGACAACAACTGCAGCATGGTCTTTGTTTTTTGGTTTTTGGTTTTTTTGAGTGGGAGTCTCACTCTGTCGTCCAGACTGGAGTGCCGTGGCCGCTCCCGGCCACCGCAGCCTCGACCTGCTGGGCTCCGGCGATCCTTCCG